TGACATCTAGTATGTTGGGAATTTCATTCCCTTATACCAAAAGAGCTGGAGAAAACATGGTATTCAGGATCCTCTGGTTTGTGGCATTTAAGCAAAGAATGCTTGCTTTACTTCCTCTGGTTTATGTATCAGCATGTGAAGACATTTTCTAGAAGTTGCTCTGAGTTTCTGAACTAGAAAAAATAAATCACTCTTAAATCTAATCTGAATGAAATTGGTTAAGGAAAATTGCTTACTTCTAGAATTTTCTTACAATTATACCCATGAATGCTACCAAAAATGCCCTCCAGTATTATATATTTGTTTATTTGGTTATTATGGGTCCAAGGACAAGGGTTCTTGCACAAGCTGTTGCTGCTTTCTAGCAAGTTTCCTTGAGGTTCAGTGCCCATGAAACACAGTAAGGTTGTGATCAGGCTGTAAAACAAAAGTCTGGCCAGGGACAGGGATAGATATGTCACTAAGGTTCCTGTAGGCTACAGGGTTTGGGTGCTGAAGACACATATGTTCCCAATTTGCATGCTGTTAACCTGGTTGAGAGGGCCAAGGCAAAGACACTGGTGGAAGACAAATGTTGGCAATATATTCCAAATTCTATAAACATCCAAGTCAAGCTTTGTGTCCCTGCCCATCTGCACTGTGTCCATGGGAGAAAGTGACTACTTCCTGAGAGGTATAGAGTGATATTAATTTGCTGGTCATTATGAGGTCCCTATTTGAACTCTGAACACAGAAAGAAAATGGTGATGCCCTGTAGAGACCTACACTGATTAAACTTGTTTTCACTGATGTCATCAGGCCAGGCACATCAACTCTGTTTGCCAATGAAATGTGCAAAATCATTCCAAATGGCACAAAAGATCCAGAACATTGGAGACTCCATATCACTTGTAGGTACATAGCCCAATTATGCTCTTGCCATTAGTGAGACCTGCTGCTTTAAATGGCAGCAGAACTGATCAGGACACACTAAGAAGAAATTCCCATGTTTTCCTTGTTCATTGGAAGCACATTTCCTGACTTTACATTGCTTTTGAAAATTTCTTAAGGGTATCATTCAAAATGTGTGTCTGTGTGTGTATGTGTATCTGTCTATCTATCTATCTATCTATCTATCTATCTATATTCATTAAACATGGTTTTGATAGTCAATTTTTAATTTAATAAATTAAACTTAAGATTCATGATGATATTGTGCAAGAATTTCAAACTTTTTGCCAGTAAGAAACTTTTAGGGTAAGAAAATGCGCAGCACTATCAATTTCCTGGAATTGACTATGTGGTCCTGATAAAGAAGGAGGTGGTATTTCACTGTCACAGAGAAAACATAGAGACATTATTCTGTGTACTGTGTGGATTCACTTCAATATTTAAAGCTTCAAGTCATTTCTGGAGAAATTTGCCTCGAGGACGAAACATGCACTTGGCTGAAAAACTGTCATTAAGCTGGTAAGCCCTGGGACATCTGGGCACATTGGGCTGGCCTGAGCTGAGTTCTGAGGTGAATCAGCCCTGTAGCTGTGCCCAGCCCTGCCCAGCTCCTGCTGATTTGGATGTCCCCAGAGTACAGCCCACAGCCTTCAAAGCATTTTACCAGACTGCTCTCAACCTAGTCAGGACTCAGTCACAGTGAGGACAAAGCATGGACATGAGAGTCCCCATTCAGCTCCTGGGACTCCTGCTGCTCTGGCTGCCAGGTAACAATGGGCAGCACTGGGGATTTCCTCAGCACAGAGAGGTCAATACTGCTTTGCCCTTCAAGGAAGACCAGATAGTCATGCTTTATCAGGGTTAATTGTAGTGATATTTATTTTGTTTCCATTATCAGGCGCCAGATGTGACATCCAGATGACCCAGTCTCCATCCTCCTTATCTGCATCTTTAGGTGACAAAGTCACCATCAGTTGTCATGCGAGTCAGGATGTTAATAAATGGTTATCCTGGTATCAACAAAAACCAAGGCAAGCTCCTAAAACTTATTTATCTATGGTGCAACCAGTTTGCACACAGGGATCTCACCAGGGTTCAATGACAGTGAATCAGGGCAGATTACACTCTCACCATCAGCAGCCTGCAGGCTGAAAATGTTGCAATTTACTGTCTACAGAATTGGAAGTGCCCTCACACAGTGATGGAAGCCATAACAAAAACTACTCAGAGAAGCAGAATTGTGAGCCTGGGCTGCCCAGCTGTTCTGCCTGGTGTCTCCACCTCTGCAGAGCATTGTGCAGATAAAGCCACGCTATAATATCACCGGAGGTTTTGGTAGAAGTGGAGGGACACTCCTCTGCATCCTGACTCTCCTTCCTCCTCCTCATCTGTGAGCACAGACCTCACACTTCCTTTCCTAATTGAATGAAGGACACTGGTGGTCACCGCTGAACTGTGGGCTGTGGCATCAGTTTAGATTTGTTACAGCAACAGAGGAGTGCTGCTAGAAAGAATTTTTAAAGATTTACAGCATTTTTAGAGTAAATTTCAGTTCAGAGCAAAATTTAAAGTGCAGTGGTGAAACCTTCATACCCCATGCTGCATACACCTACACAATCTCTTGGTCATTAACACCCAATTACAATTTTCTTACAAACAATCAAGATCAGTTTACTTTCATCATCCACATTGCACATTAAGGTTCACTCTTGATGTATATTTCAACAGCATAACTAAATATATAATGATTCATGATACATACACTGCCTTTTGATCATGACTCAGTGTGGCTTCTGTGTCCGAAAACTGTAGATTCTACCTGTTTATATCCTTTATCCTCATTTCCTTCAAGTCATTAACATTTTATCATTCCTACAAGTCTTTCTTATTAGGAATGAGTAACTATTCAAATTTATATTACAGAAGTATTTCAAAACTAATGTCACAATACATTACATTATGGAGCACACTAATGAAAATACTGAGTATTGTACTGTACTTCTACAAAGCTTTCTATCTCTCTTCTGTTGCTTTCTTGCATAACTTGGCTAGGAATATATCTATAATTGTGTTTATTACCTAGGAGATAACATCCAAATAATCATTAAATATAAAAAGAATGCACTCTCAGATTCTTTTCTTCATAGTATTTCATGGGAAACACAAATCTCTCATTAACAAAGCTCTACCTTTATTAGCAAAACAATTTATAATTGAATATTTTAGGAAAGCAAAATTTTATGTCACTATAGCTGAAAGAATAATTGAAGTTTAAACACAAATGAAACAAACTGCACAGATATGCATCTTTAGTTCATCAACCAATGTATGTAGACAACAACCAACTATGTAGACTTGAAGACCCAACATTTTAAAAATGTTTAAATATAAAGAATAACTGTATATAACAGCTGTGTTTTCCTCTTCAACTTGCTGACATATGTATGGAGAAAAATATTGCTACTCTGAGAGGACCCTTCTCTCTGTGCGTTTTACCACCAGCTCTTTCAGTTTCAACATCATTGACCCTCTTGGAAGGATCCTGGAATGTGTTACCCTTGGCTTTCACTGTTCATTTTCAATGTGCAATAATTTACAATAGTATGTTATGAAATGTATTAAAATGATCATTTATTGCTTCACCATTTAACACTTATCATATCACATTCACTTTGTGAATGAAACTTTTAAATATTTATTTGGATAATGCATGCCTTTCATCTTTCTAACAGACTAGGAGCTGAGTCAAACTCTGGGATGGGAACATCTGAGGATCCCCTGTTTAGCCTCTGCCCCTAAAGAAGCAGTGAGAACAGCACTGAGAAACGCTGGACCCTGGTCAAAATCTCTCCCATCCACTGAAGTGCTTTGAAATCTACTAGGCCCTTACATCACTGCCCAAGTCTCCACAATTCATGAAGTCATCCTGGCACCAGGATAAAGGAGCATGTGCTTTCCTTGTTACCCTAGACCCCAGCATGCTCCTAACACAGAAGATGAAATTTTTATTCACATCATTCTTCTCCATCCAATACAAGTTAGAGACCAAGGGCCAGTTATTTTTAAAAGGGCCTTCTATAAATTTAAAAATGACCCAGAAGTTATCCCTGATTTATTTAGGCTATGCAGCAGCTCTGACCTGCTTTAGATGGCGAGCACAGATGAGCTTTATCCTAGGCAAGTGTAGGGATTTAGAGGCTCATGTGACCCTTTCACAAGTTAAATGTAAAGGAATGAATGAGATGAACAGGTACTGGGAAAGGTTTTCATACACTTTAAATGGGAAAGAGAGGTGAAAAAGTTTGCCTTAGCTTCTTCCAGAAAGAGTTTAGAGACTATTTGGTACAGAGAGGCATTGCAACACTCTAGAGATCAAAAGATGGCACAAGCAAACCTGAAAAGTTTTGGGTTGAGATTCCAAAAGGAACAGGAAAAAATTTGTGTCCTTTTTACTGTACCCAAGCTGCTGAACCATTCCAAACTATCCCAACACCTAGAATTCGTTTGGCATTTTAAATATTTCCCATTTCTCATATTGCTTCTGAAATGATTCTGACTTATCGTGCAAAGAAAATTGAGAGCAAGAACCTGGCTGGACCCTAGAACTCTGCTTGCAAGAAGACAAGTAGAAACATGTGCACTTGTGCATGCTTGGAGAAAGCCTGGGGTGGGACAGCAGCATTACTCATGTCCTCCACTGCCATCTCAGTCATGCTGTGATAGTGAGCACAGGAACAAGTTCAAACATTCACAAATTCTGCTCTAAACTCTTTATGTCTCCTTTTATGCCCACAACTAGAAGCAGCCCATTTGTTTCCCTTATGTCTTCCTTCTCAAGGAATCCTATCATAGGACCATGGTCCTCAAGAAAAGTATGATCTGAACCATGAAACAACAGTTTGCTCTACTCATGAGAGAGCAGCTGTGGCCCAGGGGAGAAACACATTCTCTGCAGGCAAATCTGGTGGACAGATTTGTGTCCTGCTGTGGACAGAGACCCCAGGGGAGAATAAGCCTCTGCTGAGATGTGTTAACACTGCAGCTGGGCTAAAGCTCATGAGACCCTGCTGATTTGCATATCTCCAGAGCCCACCAGCTACTTAAGTGCTTCTTCATAGGCTGCTCATCTCAGGCTGTGCAGTTTCAGTCCCAGTCAGGACACAGCATGGGTATGAAGATCCCTGCTCACTTTCTGAGCCTCTTGCTGCTCTGGGTTCCAGGTAAGGAAGGGCAGCACCAAGAATTTACTCAGTAGTGTGTTCAGCATAGCCTGACTTTTCAGGGAGGTCCTGCTTTATCATGGATAATCATGTTGACATTTGTTGCTTCTCATTTCAGGTGCCAGATGTGATATCCAGTTGACACAGCCTGCATCCACATCTGCATCTGTGGGAGACACCGTCACCATCAGTTGCCGGGCCAGTCAAGGGATTAGCAGTTACTTAAGCTGGTATCAGCAGAAACCAGGGCAAGCTCCTAAACTCCTGATCTATCGTGCCACCAATTTACAATCTGGGGTCCCATCAAGGTTCAGTGGCAGTGGATCTGGGACAGATTTCACTCTCACCATCAGTAGCCTTCAGCCTGAAGACTTTGCAATTTATTACTGTCAGCAGTATGCTAGTTCCCCTCCCACAGTGATACAAGCCATGACATAAACCTCCCAGAGAAGCAGAAGTGCCAGACTGAGCTGCCCCAGCTGCTCTTGTGTCTCCAGCTGAAGAGCAGACTTCTCAGATGCATTCAAGCTTTGCAGTTCACTAGAAAGATAGTAGAAGCCTCCAAGGAAGCTCCTCTCTACACTAAGTTTTTATTTCTGTTCCTCAAAACTGATTTAATGATGGACACCAATGAGTACAATGGAGTAATGTGGATTATGACATCGTTTTGTATTCACATGACAGCAGAGAAATTGCCCTGTGGATTCCATGTAATACTTTTAAAGACTCCTCACTTTTAGAAATTTATTTATTTTTTATTAAAAAGACTAAAACAAAATACAAGAGAATAAAAACAATCCTAATGAAACACCGACAGTGATACAAAACTTCAAAACAGCATAATAGAAAATCAGCCATGGCTACTGTAAGGCTATTTATTGTACTAATTTAGAGATTTATATTAAAAGCAAAATTTAAAGTAGAGAAGTGTTTTTACATCATCATCATCACCATAAATCATCATCACTATATCATCATCGTAAATTGATTGCAATTCCTTTGTAGTTAATCAAGATTAAACAAAAAAGTTTATAGTTCACATTATAATTGACTCTGATTTTGATCATTTGATCAAAAACACGGTCAATAATCATGGTATGACAATATGTCATATTGACATATGTCAGTAATTTTGGTATGATAATATATTTTATCTGCACTAAATACCACTGTCTTTTACCTGTGCACCCTCATTCTTCTCTACTTTATGCATGTCAATGTCTTCCCTTGTCCATAATTATTTTTACTAAAGATAAAATGTTACAATTTAGCGTATGGAAAAGTTTCACAAAAATTCAAAACCTACTGCTATGGAACATGGAAGTAAGATATAACAAATAACATTTTGCTACTACCCAGACACCCTTTATAGCATCTATTAGTATCACAAATGCCCTGGCTTAGGAAAGGTGTTAGATCCTTTACTATGCAATACAATGGTGCTTTTGTAGTACTGATTGTATCTCAGAGGTCACCAGAAATGTGCTGACTTCTTGGAATAAATGCTGAGAGTCTATTATAGAATGGGAAGGGCATTTAGCTCTGTGGCATAAGCATCTGAAAGGCAAGCAAGAGGTTGGGAAAAAAAGTTAAAACATGCAGAGGAATATTTTAATTCTTTTTTTTTCAAAGAGAATTTTATTGATACACCTTTTATATAAATTCTGGTGTCTATACAGTCAATTGAATTTTTCTTCCATACCAGGGATTGAGTTTATGTCCTCACACTTGCCAGACAGGTGCTTACACCACTGAGCTAAATCCCTAGCTAGTCAATTGGATTTACAGGTGGAGCACTGGAACTCTCACTGTTCCTTTGTATGTCTTTCAAATCCATTTATTGTTTTGCTGCCTATAAGGTAGGGAGGACTCTGTGCATGTTGATCTGTTTCCTAAGAAATGAAAAAAAAAAGATTTGGTATCATTTCACATTGAAAAAATACTTTTTAAAATTTATTTTTATTTCTACAGTACATATGTAAAAGTATAGAAAAAATATGTGGCAGTATAAAGAAACATTTGTTTGGTTCACCAAAATAACCACTATTTCTTGGGATGAGTTAATTTTAAACAGGAATTGATCTACCTCTCATTTTTTCATCCCTCTTATGCAAGTGACAGTAACAACCATTGAGTATTGTTTACATACTTTTCTTCTTCAATACTATATTAACTACCCAGTATTTTCCATTATTCACTCCTGAGCTTGAAGTCATGAATCCTGCTTGTCTTCCACAGTATGAAATCTGAACGCCTTGACTTGCTATACAGAGTCCTTCATGACCCTCCCTGCCTATCTTTCCCTTTTGCTTCAGCATATTTCCTGGTGCATCAACTGAGGCATTGCATCTATATAAAAATATTTCTTTTCCTTATTTTTATATTTTCATATGTGGCTTTTAGCCTGTGGTACCTGAACATCTTCCATAAATACAGCATTTCATTCCTGGATGAACTACAGACTTAATTCATAGGAAGACAATAGGACGTGGCATGGTTAACATAGGGACACTAGAATGCTTTCTAGTTTCCCATCAAGATAGCAACAGCAGAGGAGGTTGCAACTATCGTAGGGACAAAATCTTCAAGTGTCACATGGATTTATTCTTCTAAAACATCTCAGACTCAGCCAGAATAAGCATTCTCTCTGTGTTACCTATTTCCTGGTTCTTCATCCAATTGACAGGATGTTTTCATTTATTCTTACTTTCCAAGATTTTTGTTACTACTTTTTGCCTTTTTAGTAGGATGTATTAATTAAGATTAGCTCTCAGCTTTCTAAAATATGTCAAGCACTGAAACATGGTGTTGTAGTCAGGGGTTGTACAGAGAGAACAATTCAGGTCAGGACATGGAGTTTATAATATTTTTATAATGGTCACCAGAAGTTAACACAGGAGAATGCAGGAAATCTATCCGCAACACCAACAACATAGACTATTTAGTCAAGAGTCTAAACCCCATGGCAATGTCCCAAATGAGTCCAGATAAAAATCCAGATCTCAGAACAACGCCTCCACGAGTCCAACTGGAAGTCCAGAGCCCACAAGAAAGGACTCACGCCAGTCTCTTTTACAGATTCGTGCCGGGAAGACCCAAGGGTCAGCGGTGGAAGCCAGAATGTCTATGCTGGCAGGATGAAGGAGCTGTGCTAGTGGGATGAGGGTTCTACACTGGAGCTGAGAAGTCACACTCACAACAAAGAGCGGGGCTGTCCTGAAAGGAACCACAGCTGTGCTCAGCAACATGGAGGCTCCGAGCTCCTCCGACGACAAGCACAGTCGGGTACGTGCCAGGAAGCAGCGTGACGAGTTCATCCTGGAGACCAGGCAGCACATGTCTTCCCCTCTGGAGCCAGGAAGCAATGCTCGATGTGAAGACCAAAGCTTCTCCAGGAGAACCAACAGCTCAGACAGCAACTCATAGGAGAACCAACAATGCCTCCATAACACCTCAATCCCTCTCCACACCTCTCTTCTTGTCACCTATTTATCCTGGCAACCCTTCTCAGGTGGAGCATCTTCTCTCAATGCATGCTGATGTAATCCAGCTGGCCTTAAGTTCACCACTAGTTACCAAACCACAACACATGGTAATTAACAAATGACTTAAAGACCTCTACCTCATATGATTACTATTGAGTATCAAATAAAATTTTAAAACTCAAGTAATGTGAGCATCTAAAATGCTCAGCAATTCTCAGTGGAAATGATGACCACATGACTTCCTAAGAGAATAGCTCAGCAGAGTCATAAAAACCTATTTTCATAGTGTCCCATTCAACTGCAGAACTTTCAAGCCTTTGGCTGATGTACTTGAAGACACATGTTCAGTTAAGACCTTGTGTAAGACTATGGAAACCAGCTTTATTCATAATAGCCCACCATGAAAACCACCTACAGCATTTTCAACACATGAAGCAATTCATCATGATATCACCATCCATTAAATAGTACTCAGAAATAAAGAAGGTCACATGAACCAGAACATGAACAAGAAGGTGCATGAACAACATGACTTAACCTAAAAAACAATTATGTTGAGTAAAAGTAGGGAACTGACAGGGAATAGAAGATGCATAATTTTTTGAAAAGAATTTCAGAGGACAAATTTAAATTACAGTGACACCTGATAGACCTGAGTTTGACAAGTCCCTGGGGTGAAGAGGAATCTGACTAAAAAGATTGGCAGGAAAAAATTGTTCTTACTGAGCAGAATTTATTATTACAGTCTCATTTTCACAGCGTAATTTTCAGATATAACACTGACTGGTAATGCACTTTAGATGCCATGAACATTTCAGCTGCATTAATTCCTCCAGTCCAGAAACACATGGGACTCTTCCATTTATTTGTGTTTTAAGTAATTTCTTTCATCACCCTTAATGGAGTCTAATTTATCATTATTTCTCTCCTGGGCTTTTATTTATGTCCTGTTATATGTTTTCCTAATTTTACATTTTAAAGTTATACTCTTGTGTTTTCTCCTAAAGCTTGCCAACTCATACTTGGAGACTAATATTCAATTAATTCATATTTTTACCAGATATCATATGGATAAATGTTTTTCCTCCATACAATTAATTTTATTTTTATTTACATTTTCTCCTCAGCATTTTTTGGAAAAAAAGACACATTAACATAAAATTGACTTTGCTATCTTTGTAGGAATAACCTTGTATATGTGAGTCTTCTCTCTAGAATCTTATTTATTGTTATTTCAGTTTATTTCTCTTCCTTCCCATGGTGCACAACACTGACTTACTGAAGTTCCTTGATAATACCCCACCTATTTTTGCACTGCTTGGAATCAAACTGAAACCTTTATACAAACTAGACAAATGCTCTACTATTGAAATATATTCTCATCTGCTATAAATGTTTTAGAATATAATATCATTCATATTCTATTTTTATTCCTCAAAATTTTCATGGCTATCCTAGTTCCTTTGATTTTTCTTGTACATTCTAGAACATACTCATGAACGTAAACAAATCATTTCTATATCGGTTGAATTTCATTGCATGAGATACATTTGTGCTTGTACATCCTATGAAAAAATTGAACTTTAATGATAGTATGTTTTCTACTTGACGAACATGGAAAAATGTCAGCTACCTTTTGTGTAACCATTAATTTAATATTATAATTATTATGCATGTAAAAATGAAGAATACACAAAATAATTCTGAAAAAGAAAATATAGTTATAGGTTTTACACTTTATGATTTACATTCTTCCATCTTTTTCTAATAGTATTAGGAATCAAAAGGATATTAATGCAACTGTATATATCAGAATGTATCAACTGCTAATCAGGATTTTTATTATCTGAATGCTATGATTATTTCTGGTTTCACTCCTAGAGAAAATGGGTTACCAACTGTGTATATGCAAGAGGCATGCATTTTTCTTCCTATTAAGGCCATTTGAACAAT